TTAAGAGTCCCAAATTGAAAAACACTGGCATCAGGATGTCTACACTCATGCCCCCAGCGCTGCCACAGCTGTGTGAGCTGGAGCCAGACACTTACCCGGCCTTAGCCTGAGTTGGACTAGCTCACCTCTAAAGTCCCCTTCCGCTCTAAAAATAAGTGAGTCTATGAGCATTTTCAAATGCAGATCACAGTTAATTGCTTTTTTTTCCTGAGCACTTGCCCAATTTCCCATTTCAGATTCCCATTTCTGAAACAAGGCTTCCTATTTCCTTTGGCTTTGAGTTATCATTGAAAAAATAGTCCTGTGCTCTGTGCCAAGAGGGGTTTAACTGGCTAGAAAATGGACACATGCTTTCTGTCAGGACCTGCCCCATCCTCGCGCTCTCTTCTCCTTCCTTTATCCGCACTCTCCCTGCGGTTTGCATGTAAGGAGAGCTGTCATGCAGCCCATTGTGTTAAATTGTCTCAAAGAGGGAACTGGGCCTGAAAAGATCTCAGTGGAGAGAACAAAGGCGGCTAAGCGTTCTGGGCAGCAGTGACCTTTGAAGAGGCCCTGCCAAAACGCAGGGTGGGAATGAGTTTCCTTTCCATGCTGTCTTTCAATTGAAGAATGAGCATTCCGAAAGGCCGGTTAAATATGGGGAATTAGAAAAGAGCTGATGCTGCTTTTCAGACTCCGGCTGGTGCACGGAGTGCTTGCTTCCGTTGTAGAGCCGGTGAGGTAACAGTTGCCATTGGCCACTAGATTGTTAACGCCTTGCTGGCAGGGAATGTATCTTGTTTATATTTGCATCCCTAATGCCTAAAATAGAGCGATGCACCTGTCACATGCTCAAGTGTTTGCTTAATGTGTGTGTGGCAGCCATGAAAATGTGCTCGTCACACCCTGGCCGGTAGCTCAGTTTGTTTTAGCATCATCCTGCTACACCAAGGTTGTGGGTTCAATCCCCGGTCAGGGCACATATAAGAATCAACCAATGAATGCATGAACAAATCAATCTCAATCTCTCTCTCTCTCTCGTCAATAAAAATGTTTAAAAAGAAAGAAAATTCGCTGTCCATGTCCCCTGCTGCAGGGAGCATAATTGACTGACAGCCTTACCCTGCTGTGCCCTCTAGGTCCATCACCACATCTGCACTGGGTCTACATATCCTGGAGGCAATTCCCAGCCAGGGACTGAGCGCAGCAGGGGTACTAACTCAGGCGCGGCCTAGTGAGATGTGGGACTCCTTTGGCATGAAGACTTCCCACTGGCCTGGCCAAACCTTTCTTAGAACTGTGCTGCAATCTCTCATCTCCAAACCTCCTTCCTTCCCCCTCTCCTTCCACAGGTATCAGACCTTCAGCATGGTCTAAATGTTCTCCCTTCTCTCACTTCCTCCCCAATAAATGTCCTGCATGTCTATCCATCTTGCTGCCTTCTTGGCAGACCTAAACTAACACAATCCCATATAACAAAAGCCTAATAGGCTAAGTGTCTGACTGTTCGACCATTCAACCAGTCGCTATAATGTGCACTAACCACCAGGTGGCAGACGCTTCACCCGGTAGGTTAGCTTGCTGCTGGGGTCTGGCCGATCAGGACTGGGAAAGACGGGCTGGACACGCGCTGGAGCCCTCCTGCAGTCCCGCGGCCTGGCCTGTGCCTTCTCGCAATCTGGAACCCCTCGGGGGATGTCGGAGAGCCGGTTTCAGCCTGATCCCCGCAGGCCAGGCCAAGGGACCCCACCAGTGCACGAATCCGTACACCAGGCCTCTAGTATAAAAGAACTAGAGCCTTAACCGGTTTGGCTCAGTGGATAGAGCATTGGCCTGTAGACTGAAGAGTCCCGGGTTTGATTCCATTCAAGGGCATGTACCTTGGTTGCGGGCACATACCCAGTAGGGAGTGTGCAGGAGGCAGCTGATCGATGTTTCTAATTCTCTATCCCTCTCCCTTCCTCTCTGTAAAAAAATCAATAAAATATATATTTTTTAAAAATAACTAGAGGCCTGATGCACGAAAATTGTGCAAGAGTGGGCCTTCCTTCCCCTGGCTGCCGGCACCAGCCTCCCTCTGGCACCCGAGACCCGGGCTTCCTTTGCATCCCTGGCTTCGTCAGGAATGTGTCCGGAAGGACGTCCGGTCTAATTAGCATATTACGCTTTTATTATATAGGATTATTATATAGGATGAATGACAGATGATGTACCATAGAATTGTACCCCTGAAACTTATATAATTTTATTAAACAATGTTACCCCAATATGTTCAATTTTTAAAAAAGGATGAACGAGTCCTTGTAACTGAGAGTGGAAAGTGGTCATGTTGCAAGATATTGGAGAATATTTATGATGGTTTATTATTATGAGGCTTTAGTTAAAGCCATTTAAAATGTTTGAACCGTAGAGTCAAAGTGATCCTTTCCGAAGGCAAACTGATCTCATCCCTCCTTCCATGTAAAACCCTCAGTGGCTTCCCAGTGCTCTTAGGATACTCCGTCATGGCCTCAAGATCCAACCTGGTCTGGTCCCTGCATCCTTTTGCAACCTCATCTTGCATTCTACTTCCCCTCGCTCTCTCTTTTCTAGACACACTAGTCCCTTTATTCACCATATTCCCGGCTGCTACAGACCCTTTGTACATGCCATTCCTTCTGTTCAGCGCACTAGTCTCTCACCTTTTTGCCTAGTGGATTCATATGCATATCTGAGCTTAAATATCTCCTCCTCAGGGTGACTTCTTAACTAGGTCAGATGTTCCTATAACATTTCTCACCATCTACCCCTCCTTTATAGCACATATCACACTGGCTATTTTAATATCTCTCCATCTTTAGACTGTAAGCTCCATAAGGAAAAGGCGCAGTCTATGGTTTTGCTCACTCTTATAGCCTAGCATCCAGCACAGAGTAGGTACTCAATACATATTTGTGGAATCATTGGGCCCAAGTATTGGGGGCTGAGGGCCACTGTTCTGGAATACAGTGTTGGGTCTGGAGTTTGATTTTACCCTAATTATAGCTAATAAGTTAGCGGGTTACTGTTTCATGGATGCTGGTAGAAGTCAAGAAGTTCTGGTTCAGAAACAAAGGGCTTTATTACTCAGAGCACAGCAGGTAGCATGAGCATCATGTTTGTTTGCACCAGTTCCCTTTGCCTCCCAAGTCCGACATTGAAGGCTTGTTCTTTGTCCCATAGAAAGATATTATCTCATCTGTCAAGGTTTTTTGCTGCAAACACAATCCTGAGAAATGGCCTAAGTACAGAGCAGACACAGCCTTGAAATCTTGCCATACCCAGCAAGATTGAAAGGAGATTGCAGCAGACCTGTGGAGGAATATCTCCCATTATACAGTTTCTCCAAAAATTATTTATGTCTAGAGAAAGCCTCAGAATAGAAATTCATTTCTCTCTCTCTCTCTCATATATATATACATATATAATATACTAGAGGCCTGGTGCATGGATTCGTGCACCAGTGGGGTCCCTCAGCCTAGCCTGCAGGGATCAGTGGACCTCTGCCCCACCGCAGCTCGGCCTTATCCGCCAGCTCAAGTCGGGCTCCAGCCCGCTGTCCCCTTCTATCCTACACAGCATAAAGTAGTGCGCAAAGTGGCAGGCGGATAGGGAGAAGCCCGAACCTGGGCTGGGCGCCACATCGGCCCCGCTGCACCTGCTGCCTCTGCCAGGTGTGCAGGGGGAGTGTCCATGAGAGGCCTCTGCACCTGCGCTCGCCAGCCCAGCATCTAGTGCCCGTCTGTCAGCTGAGCAGCGCTCCCTCTGTGGGAACACACTGACCACCAGGAGGCAGCTCCTGTGTTGAGCATCTGCCCCCTGGTGGTCAGTGCACATCATAGCTACCAGCCAGTCGTCCAGTCATCTGGTCGTCCAGTTGCTTAGGCTTTTATATATATAAATTACATTTACATATATGTTATATAAATTATATATACACTAGAGGACCGGTGCATGGATTCGTGCACCAGTGGGGTCCCTTGGCCTGGCCTGCGCCCTTCGCAATCTGGGACCCTTCGGGGGAAGTCAGAGAGCCGGTTTCAGCCCAATCCTCCTGGTGGTCAGTGCGCATCATAGCTACTGGCTGGTCGGCCGTCACTTAGGCTTTTATATATATATAGATAGATAGATAGATAATATACACATAGTATTCCAGGAGGTAAAAGGAATCTGGCCATGGGTTTGCTTGCCAGAAGTATACGCTTGAGAATGGCTAATACGACCATATTTCCTTGAATGACAATATTATATAATGGTTAAGAACATTGACTGCAACCAAGACTTCCTGGGTTTGAATTCTTGCTCTGCTGCTTTCTAGCTATTACATCCTTGGGCAAGTTATTTAACTTCTCTATGCCTCATTTCCCTCATCAGTGAAATCCTCCAGGTTGAGCGTCAACTATGAACCAGGAGGTCACCGTTCAATCCCGGTCAGGGCACATGCTCAGGTTGCAAGCCCGATCTCCAGTGGGGGGTGTGCAGGGGGCAACTGATCAATGATTCTCTCTCATCATTGATGTTTCTGTCTCTCTCTCCCTCTCCCTTCCTCTCTGAAATCAATTAAAAAAATATGTACATTTTTTTAAAGTATCTGCCTCATAAGGTTGTGAAATGGGTGACACACAGTAAGTGTTCAGTAAATGTTAACACATTACTGTGGTGACTATTATTATTCTAGGGCAGCTGGCCAATTGTGGAATAATCTACTTGCACTTCATCAGGCAGTGATAATGGTCTGCTGACCTTGGAAATGCTGCCTTCAATGTTTAAGTTACTTTCCTTTGAACTACTCAAAATGTGAACTAGAAAGGTGGGGGAGGAGGGCAGGCATGCAAATGGACTCACAGTCTAAGTTTATTAATTTTTAAATGCTTTTAAATGGTGATAGGTAGAGACTTAGGAGGGTAGACTCTTAACGTAGGTACAGGTCACAGACCCTCTATTCAAGCAGAGCACCACTTGGAATTGTTCTCTTGGCTGCACTATCTACTTCTCTTTTGTAGTGAACGTGGTGGAGGCGCTTCAGGAATTCTGGCAGATGAAGCAGTCCCGTGGGGCTGACTTGAAGAATGGCGCTCTCGTGGTTTATGAGATGGTTCCCTCCAACACCCCTCCCTATGTCTGCTACGTCACCCTGCCTGGGGGAAGTTGCTTTGGGAGTTTCCAGGTAAGAGTTGCAAAGCAGCAGTAGCAAAGGTAATTGCTTTGACTTTGGGTGGTGGGCACACAATGCACAATATACAGATCATGTATCATAGAAATGTGCACTTGAAACCTATATGACCCTCTTAACCCTAATCAATGTATTAGTCTACTCTCCTTAGCTCCCTACCTATCACCATTTAAAAGCATTTAAACATTTACTAACCCCAATAAATTTAATGAAAGAAAGAAGATAATTGCTTAGGTGCTAGTAATGGCTTTCTCTATCACTTTGGCCATTAAATCTCTGTTTGAAATCACATATTTGAAGACCTGAACCAATTCTGGGCAAATCATTCTGGTAAGCATCTCAGGCTCATTTGACCACCAAAGAACCTCATAGCAAGCTTTTCTTTTTAGCCTGCAAAAATGCAAACCCACTCTGAATTTGAACAGTGATTAATAATGCCCTGATTCAGTATATCAGACTACCAGCACCTAACCCATGTTCTAATCTGGCTTTTCAAGTTCCGGCCATCTCTTTTTGAGAACATAGAATAATACTCCTTGCCCCAAGTTTGTTTTCATAGGCATTTACTAAGGAAAGCAATGTTTGGGTGGAAATGTTACTCAGCCAAGAGTTAGGCTAGTCACATTCTCATTCCCTTGACTGCCAGCAGGCAAGTCAGGTAACTTCTCTGGGCCTCAGTTTTCCCATCTATCATATGAAGGAGAGAGGTTAGATTATTTCTAAAGTCTTTCTAGTACCGGTACTAGCATTCTACAATTATATGAAAGACCTGTAATATATGATGATGAAGAGTGGTTGCTATTATAGGGTGATGAGAAATTTGAATAGCGTAAATATTATCATCAAAGATGGATTCTTTTTTTAATATATTTGTATTGATTTCAGAGAGAAAGGAAGAGGGAGAGATAGAAACATCAATGATGAGAGAGAATCATTGATCAGTTGCCTCCTGCAAGCCCCCCAGTGGGGATCGAGCCCGCAACCCGGGCATGCGCCCTTGACCGGAATCGAACCCAGGACCTTTCAGTTCGCAGGCCGACGCTCTATCCACTGAGCCAAACCAGCTAGGGCAAAGATGGATTCTTTACATTACAGATAGGAAGGAAGCCCTCTGAAATGTTAACTTAGAATCTGAATAGGAATTTAGAAAAGAGAATAGACACGTTTGTTCTGTTTTCCATATGGTTTGTATAGCCCTTAGACAAAGTTATAAGCCCTGCTGTGTGCTTCCAAACACCTTGAACTTCTCCTAACATATCATAATTGTTTATCTCTCCTGGGGGATGACACTCCATGAAGGCAGAGATAGCATCTGTCTTCTTCCTTGTTCAGTTTTTTTAAATTAATTAATTAATTGGATTTTATTGAATGGTTTTTGTGGTTTTGTTTTGTTGTTTTTTAGAGAGAGTGAGGAAGGGAGGGAGGGAAGGAGAGAAAGACACAAAGACAGAGATAGTGATGTGAGAGGGAAACATCAATCGGCTGCGCCATGCACGCACCCTGACTGGGTATCGAACCTGCAACCTAGATATGTGCCCCTACCGGGAACTGAACCCGCCACCTTTTGTGTTTTTGTTGTTGTTAATCCTTACCCGAGGATATTTTTTCATTGATTTTTAGAGAGAGTGGAAAGGAGGGGGAGAGACAGAGAGAGAGAAACATGAATGTGAGAGAGAGACATTGTTTGGTTGCCTCCCGCGCGGGCCAGATCAAGCCTGCAACCGAGGTACATGCTCTTGACCGGAATTGAACCCAGGACCCTTCTGCCCGCGGGGTGACGCTCTATCCACTGAGCCAAACCAGCTAGGGCCAACCTGCCACCTTTTGGTGTATGGGATGGTGCTCCAACCAACTGAGCCATACTGGCCAGGCCCCTTGTTCAGTTTTAAATCCCTACCATGAAACTCAGCACTTAAGTAGGCACTTAAGCCCTAGCCGGTTTGGCTCAGTGTAAAGAGCGTTGGCCTGCGGACTGAAGGGTCCCAGGTTCGATTCTGGTCAAGGGCACATGCCCAGGTTGTGGGCTCCATCCCCAGTAGGGGGTGTGCAGGAGGCAGCCAATCAATGATTCTCCCTCATCATTGATGTTTCTGTCTCTCCCTCTCCCTTCCTCTCTGAAATCAATAAGGAAATATATTTTAAATAATAATAATAATAGGCACTTAATAAATCTGTTGCATGAATGAGTGCCATTACAGCTCAGTTCCTGCCCCAAATAGAAACGGCCCCCAGGGAGCTTCATTTAAAATCAGATGGCTAAATTTCCCCCTTAGAGCCTCAGCCATTTTAGAGAAATAAGTAAGTGCCCAGAATGACTAATGTTTATGCTTTCTCTTCTACAGAGTAAGATCTTTCCTTCCCTTCTCAGACCTCATTATATTGCTGAATAAGGACTTGATTATTTTATGGTGATGCCCAAAGCTGAACCATGGTAGTAATTTGATTTCTCTTATTTCCAGAAAGAGTAGGATTATCTATTGTGGCCCCTTTTGGATGATCTGTTTTATATTCACTTTGGCAGGTGAAATTTCTTCCATTGGTTCTTTTCATTGATGACCTCTCAGAAACAGCGTTAGACAGTAGAGTGGACAGCAGGCTAGTAAATAGAAAAGTAGAAACAGAGAAATTGAAGAAGCAAGATTTAGGGTTAACGTACCAAGCTCCATATACCGTCTGAGAGAGACCTGTCAGCTAAAGGAAATTGGGAATTATTGATAATTAAGGATGGTTAAGTAGCAAACATATCCTGGGCTACTTTTAAAAACTGTAACATCATTTACCTCCTTTCCTCTAATCCTAATCATAAATGACAAAGGGGCCCAGCTGGGTGTGGCTCAGCAGTTGAGCGTCGACCCAAGAACTGAGGTCACGGGTTTGATTCCTGGTCAGGGCACATGCCCGATCAATGATTCACTCTCATCATTGATGTTTCTATCTCTCTCCCTCTCCCTTCCTCTCTCAAATCAATAAAAATATATATTTTTAAAAATGACGAAGGGCACGGAGGCCTTTGAAGCAGCCAGTGAAGATGAATTATAAAGGAACACTTTGGTGCCTAGGGGTCTGAAGTTGAATGGTGAAATCAGACTGTCCCACGATACCTATGTTGGATACAATGTAAAAATATGAATTTTTAAGTTTTCTTGCTTTCATTAGGTCAGCCTTCCTTTCCCTAGACACCCCTCTTCTCCTTGTGTCCACGGGGGATAAATACTATAGATTCCTTCTTCAGACCTTGGGCTCTGCTCAGGGATAGCTCCTTGATTCATTACATTATTGGGGGAACTGCTCAAGCTAAAAGGGAAGGCCAAGAGTCCCAGATGAGACTAGCGTCCCCACTGCAGAAGCAGCCTAGACTCAGTCTGTTCCAATCTTGGGTTATCCGGAGGGATGAAAAAAGTCTTGCCCGTCCACAGAACAAGAGAACAAGACACAGATTTCTAACAGGCTGGCCAGAATCTGGCTTTTGAGTAATTAATTCTGTTGACAGTTTAAACAGGGCTATTTTTCATATCCAGTGATTATATGCTGACTTCAGCAGCCTTCCTCATTCTGCTTTCAATTTGGTATGAGCTATATAGCCATCTCCAGTTCTTTAATAACTTCAGGATGTCGAATCAAAATTGTGTTTCCAAATGCCCCCACCATTTACAATAAAAACGTTGGAGGGAGTGTTGAACAAATGATTTATCCAGAGTGTCCAAGTGTCTTCTACCCCAAGTGTTTCCCTCCCATTGCGCCTTCTCTCTCTCAGACGCACACATACACATATGCTCTCTCTCCCCTGCCTAGTTTTGCCCCACTAAAGCTGAGGCCCGGCGGAGCGCTGCGAAGATTGCACTAATGAACTCTGTGTTTAACGAACATCCTTCCCGAAGGATCACTGATGAGTTCATTGAGAAGAGTGTCTCTGAGGCCCTGGCATCTTTCAATGTAAGTTTCTTGGAGTTGGAAGGAAGGAGATGGGAGATGGGAGAAGTGGCTGGTTGGGAAGTCTTACCTATCATTTGGAAACAGGGCATGGATTCTTGTTTTATTTCCTGTCTACATCTCTGTTCTGTTTTTTCTCTGTCAGTCTTTTATATGACATGCTCCATATGTCTCAGTCTCTAGCTCTGTATGTGTGTTTGTCTTTGTTGCATTTCGTTTCTTTAATATTTGAAACATTTGTGTCTCTCTGATATCTAGAAACCTTTACTTCAAGATTTATGCAGTTTTAGAGATTTTACAAAACAAAAGTTGAGCTAGCATTTTGTTTTTCCCAGTTTGGGTTTTAGACCTTAGCTCCTTCTTCCTTCACTGTTCTTTCTTTTTATATGACTGTTTTTATTGTCACTTGTCTCCTGCCTCCATTATTTCATTCTATTAATAAAGAATATAAAGAATACTTTATAATACAGTGTCTTGGATTTTTTCCTTTCTAGGAATGGGGAGGATAAGTTATTTATTCTCTTTAAAAAGAACATTTGTTCTTTCAAATGACGATGATGTTGTTGTTGATGATGATGATGATGATGATGACTAACCATAGCTAGTCCTAATTATTTACTTTGTGCCAGCAATTGTTCTAGGAATTTATATGTATTACATCTCATTTGATCTTAAGAACAATCCTGTGATGTGTAAGTATTATTATTGCCCCTGTTTTACAGATGAAGAAACTAAAAACACAGGAGTGAAGTTTTGCCTAAAGTGATAGTGCTAGTAAGTGGTAGAGCCAAGGCTGAACCCAAGACAACTTATAGACTTTTCTAGTTTAAGGTGCATCTTAGAAGTTAGCACTACCTTCTCCCTCCCTCCCACAAGTTCATTGACAGACTGATAAAGTCAGGTCAATTTTCTGTTTTTATCCTCTTTGCATTTAAGGTGTAATTACATATACTAAAATGCTTCAGTTATCTGTTTTGTGAAGTAGTGTTGAGCACTTCATTTATTAAATTTTTAAAAATATTTTTTCGCCGAAACCGGTTTGGCTCAGTGGATAGAGCGTCGGCCTGCGGACTGAAAGGTCCCAGGTTCGATTCCGGTCAAGGGCATGTACCTGGGTTGCGGGCACATCCCCAATGGGAGATGTGCAGGAGGCAGCTGATCGATGTTTCTCTCCCATCGATGTTTCTAACTATCTATCTCTCTCCCTTCCTCTCTGTAAAAAATCAATAAAATATATTTAAAAAAAACATTTTTTCATTAATTTCAGAGAGGAAGAGAGAGATAGAAACATCAATGATGAGAGGAAATCATTGCTTGACTGCCACCTGCACGCCCCCTACTGGGGATCGAGCCCACAACCCAGGCATGTGCCCTTGACCAGAATCAAACCCAGGACCCTTCAGTCCACAGGCCAAGGCTCTATACACTGAGCCAAACCAGCTAGGGCTGTGTTGAGCACTTTAAATCATAAGTTGGCTTCTCTTTGTTACCTAAGCTCCATCTATTCTTCTCCCATTACTCTTTACCCAGTCAGCAATATCTGCGGGGAAGAAAAACATTTTTATATTAAAGCCAATTAAAATTAAGAAAGTATGTTTTTCACTCATTACCAATGTACTATAAAACAAAACATTAATTTGGATTATAGAAAGAGGGTTTGTGACCAGGGGCTCTGATTCTTGTTTTGAAATTATGATTCTACTAGCTATGTGACTTTGAGCAAATTACTTAATCTAAGTCTCAGTTTCCTCATCTGTAAAATAGGATAACAATTATGCCTATCACGTGGGATTATTGGATAAAAGAAAATATATTCAAGCACTTAGCACATGTTATCTCTTTAGATGCCTTTGGATGCCAGTAATAGAAAATATCACTTCAAATTGACTTAAAGGAATAAGTAACAGAAGGAAATTTATTATCTAATGTGACAGACAGGAAGTGCAGAGATAGAGCAGATTTCAGTGCTGGTTGATTCTGTGGATCAAGAATGTCATCATCTTGGCCGAAACCGGTTTGGCTCAGTGGATAGAGCGTCGGCCTG